TCTGGTTACCAAGAAGCTGATGATGTCCTTCTTTGGCCTGGCTTTTCCTGGAAGCGCTTCCTGTTTGCTGCTGGGCAACTTAATGCTCCAGATGTTGTTGATAAGTTTCGTCTGCTCTCGCTGCTGCAGCTTTGCAGCGCAGAGCAGCAGCAGCAGCATGCTAAATGGCCAAGCCATCTCCAAGGCTGCAAAGGGCATGCTCAGTCGATCTGTTTTATACTGCTCGATTTGTACGCGAGGCTGCAACAACAGGTTCTTCTCGGAACTGAGCTTGCTCACATAGGCACCACACTTCAGGGAAAGCTCGAGGAGAAGCCAACAGAATACCAAGCTGAAGTAGAAGGCAGCCAAGTGTTGTATGCGCTGCAGCAGAGGATAAACGTGCAGCACTTGCCGCAGCAGCTTGAGCTCGTTGGGCAGCTGCAGCTGCTTGAGCAGCTGATTCAGCGACTGCAGCATGCCAGTGTGCAATAGGTGCCGAAAGAGCTGCAGGGAGAGCAGCAGCATGAAGAGCAACTGGATTGCGCCCATCACATAGTTGCCATAGTGTAGCAATTCCAGCAGGACCAACTTCAAGCTGATCAGCAGGAACAGGAATAGCTGGCAAATGCCCAGCAGCAGGAGCAGCCAGGAGCACTCCAGCACGAAGCGCTCTCGCAGCAGACGCTTCAGATGCCTAGTTGCCAGTTGGGCTTGGTCTATCATGCGCCAGAGGTGCACTCGCCAATGCAAATACACGATTAGTATCCASACATAGGCCAGGTTCTGGGTGAACTGGCTGAAGAAGCCCATGGCCTTAAGCGCGACGCGTGCATTGGGCACAGCCTTGTCAGCGGCCTTCTCGCCGAAGCGCAAGATGAACTGCACAAAGTTAATGAAGATCAGCAGGAAGCACGGGAAATGTGTTAGAAACGAGGTCCAGAAGCCACGCCTCTGGCGATAGCGCTGACGAGCTCTATCGAACCTTATCTTCAAGAGCCCGACACCATCGAGAGCCACACACTGCAGCCTAAGCAGGCCATAGAGCAAGTTGAAGCGCCACATGCTGTTAGAGAACTGAGGCGAAGGTAATTGAAAGCATTCATTCATTTATTGAGGGCTTCAGTTGATTGATGGCTTCACATTGTCGCGCAGCTCACTCGATCTCATCAAGCTGATAGCTGCGATAGATCTGGCTAATTGTGTTGGTCACATTTATATCGAAATTGCCCTTCGTATAGCTGTCGTAGAAGTTAATTTGCATTGCCGGGTGCTGGCGCGAGTAGAGGTAGAGGCAGAGCAGAAACTGGCAGCCCACTCGGACGAAGGTGCGCAGCAGGATGGGCAGCGTCAATTGTAGATGTTTGGCGCCGACGCCCACGATGGCCAGGGGCAGAGGGACGCAGCGACGCAGCTGCGTTACAGGCAAATTGCTGAAAAACTGTAAAAGAAATTAGAATAAGCCGAGGGGCACAGAGATCTGAGCAGGAACAGACCAGCATGCTGATGATGTCCCGCTTGTGCTGTGGCTTGATGCAGATCCGCTGTATGGGCAGGCCGAAGGGCATGGGCAGCGTCTGGTTGCGCAGCAGACACCAGGAGCGCAGCTTGAAGTACTCCAGGCGATCTTCCATGCGCAGATAGTTGGCGTTGAACTGCCAGTGCTGGAGCTGCACGTCGATGGAGCAGAGCATCAGTGTCAGAAATGTGAGCAGCAGCAGCAGCAGATGGGACGCCAATATGCGATCCACATTCAGCTGGTCGGGGGCTCGCCAGTCGGGCAGCAGTTTGCCGAAGCGGTACGCAATCAAGCCCAAGAAGCTGAGCAGATGCAGTGCCAGGTAGCGCATAATGCGCCAATGCAGGCACCAGAGGCTCGCCTGCTCGCGCAGCACGGTGCGCAGGATGCCCAGGCGGGAGCTCCGCATGTGCTGCTGCAGAAATGTGTTCAGCGCCCGGTAGATGCTGGCCAGCCAGATGAGATAGTTGCCCAGGAAGAGCAGGTGCATGTAGTAGATGAGCGAGGTGCCAGCTATGAAGCAGGCCTGGTAGTTGTAGTACACGTGGAACTGCCAGACGAACAGCCCCAGCACCTCGGCGGACAGCAGCAGGGTGAGGCCGCACTCCCGCCAGAGSGGCACGCACAKCCAGGTGCCCAGGACGCGTTGCAGTGTGCCATGCGTTTGGCTGCAGGCGTTCAGGAGCGAGACGAGATGCTGGCGCAGCACCACAAAGTAGACGTAGAGCGGCACGAAGACCAGGAACAGCAGCCCGTCGTACACCCAGCCCTGGCTGAGCCACAGATAGCCTAGCGAGCTGATCATGTACATCAGGGTCATCATCTGCACATAGAACAGCTCGCCCCGCACGAACCGCGCGTCCTTCGTCCAGGTCAGATTGTAGAAGCCCAGATAGATGCCCAGCCGACCGATGACTCGCCACACGCAGAGTATGTGGCACAGGCAGAAGCCTTTGATCGTCGCATGCGTTCGCATCGCTGCCAGCTGCTGGCCACACTGAGCGCGAGACGCGCACGCACAGGAGCAGAAGGCAAATTTGTTGCCGTTGCATGTTAATTAGCTTTTACAGTGAATGATAAGTGCGACATTTATTCTGGCAGAGCTGCGAGTGGTGTGAGCGAGTCCTCGAACCACAAAAACAAGCAATATTTCAT